GCGATGCAATCTGATTGGCTGAAACTTTAAACAGTTTTAACTCCCCTGGCTTTCAACCAAACGGGATGGGATTTGGAACATAGATAGATTTAATGAACTTCTACAAGAAGGTATGGTCACCATGCTCATGTATGCACGTGCGTGCACGTGAAATGGGTAAAATCAAAAATACACTTGAATGAGCGAATATTTTTAATACTTTTGGATTAAATACTTTAATATTTAGTATATTAAAGTATATAGATTGTGTAGACAAGATGATACGGTCATTACGCACATGCATTCACATGCGCACGCCTGCAATGCTAAAATTTAAAGAACTTGGAACCTTTCTGGGTAAACGTTATTAAAGTCTCAAGTGCATAAAGTTTGTCTTATTTAATAAAGCTTACAGGGAATATGGCAACAAAAGGGAGATGGGGAGCGTTTGGGGAACATCTGTAACGGTCCCCATTACAATTAGCACTAGTTATTATTATTTTTCTTCTTCTTCCTGGGTACTTTTTTGTCCGGGAATGATCTTGTAAACTGTTCGTCCGATGTAGGTAAAACCTTTTTAGGGTCAGTAGACATGTTATGTAGATTTGCGGAATCAAGGTCATTTTGCGCGCACGTGCTTGCAAGAGCGCGCACGTGCAACACGTGAAATGACCAATATAATGGATATTGCCGTAACTTTTCTATTTTTTGATGAAATTTTTTGAAACTCATAATGTACGGATACATTAGTAGTATAGACAAGCTGGCATGGTCAAAATAGCAAGAACTCACGCGCATGCACGTGCGCTTCGCTCTGATTGGCTGAAACTAAAGTCTCAATATCTTTCTTGTTTCTTGTCATAATATTTTGAACATAATCCTACATTATGAAGATCTACAGCTTGATATATAAGAATGTTCATGAAAGCATGCGCATGCGCGTGTGCTGCAATCTGATTGGCTGAAACTTTAAATGGCTATATCTCCTTTGTATTTTGACGAAATGCTTTGAAATTTAAAATATAGTCATGCATTAGGATATCCTACAATATGATATAGAAAAAAATTCATGAAATTACACGCATGCACGTGTGCTGCAATCTGATTGGCTGAAACTTGAAATGGCTAAAACTCCCTTGTTTTTCAACCAAACAGGATGGGATTTAGAATATAGATAGATATAGAGGACTCCTACAGGAAGGTGTGGTGATCATGCTCGTGCACGCACGTGCATGCATTTCGAACGAGTGAAATTTAAAAAACCTTGAATGAGTGATTTTTAATACTTTTGGACTGAATGCTTTAATATATAGTATATTAAAATGTATAGATAGTGTAGACAAGATGATATGGTAATATCGCACATGTAGTCGCATGCGCTCAGGTGCAATGCTAAAATTTGAATATAATTGGTATCCTTCCGGGAAAACGTTGTTAAAGTCATAAATGCACAGAGGTTGTCTTATTTAATGAAGCTTACAGAGAATATGGCACCAAAAGGGAGTTGGGGAGCGTTTGGGGAACATCCCGTTACAATTAGCACTAGTTAGTTTTAAAAACGTTTAAATGCTTATATGAAATTTTGAATTAATTTTTTGGGGCGTGAAATTAAAACCATCACAATTGGAAGTTTTTGAGATATCGTTAATTTTTCAAACCGTGGAATTAAAACAACTTCCAGTAACCATCTTATTATACCCCACGCACCCCCACACAAGTAACTATCTTATTATACCCCACACACCCCCACACAAGTAACCATCTTATTATACCTCACGCACCCCCACACAAGTAACCATCTTATTATACCCCACGCACCCCCACACAAGTAACCGGCTTATTATACCCCACCCACCCCCACACAAATAACCATCTTATTATACCCCACACACCCCCACACAAATAACCATCTTATTACATCCCAGGCACCCCAACACAAGTAACCATCTTATTATACCCCACACAAGTAACCATCTTATTATACCCCACACACCCCCACACAAGTAACCATCTTATTATACCCCACACACCCCCGCACAAGTAACCATCTTATTATACCCCATGCACCCCCGCACAAGTAACCATCTTATTATACCCCACACACACCCGCACAAGTAACCATCTTATTATACCCCACACACCCCCACACAAGTAACCATCTTATTATACCCCACACACCCCTGCACAAGTAACCATCTTATTATACCCCACACACCCCCCCACAAGTAACCATCTTATTATACCCCATGCACCCCCGCACAAGTAACCATCTTATTATACCCCACGCACCCCCACACAAATAACCATCTTATTACATCCCAGGCATTCCTACACAAGTAACCATCTTATTATGTCCCATGCACCCCCACACAAGTAACCATCTTATTATACTACACGCACCCCCACACAAGTAACCATCTTATTATACCCCACACAAGTAACCATCTTATTATACCCCACGCACCCCTACACAAGTAACCATCTTATTACATCCCAGGCACCCCCACACAAGTAACAAGCTTATTATACCCCACACACCCCCATACAAGTAACCATCTCATTACACTTTACGCACCCCCACACAAGTACTGTAAATTGGCAAATAATCCGATGGTTTTAATTTCGCTATGTTCGCGTTTTATCATTTTTCCGTGAAATTGAGCCCAGCCTGAATATTATTATTAGTTTTAAAAACGTTTAAATGCTTATATGAAATTTTGAATTAATTTTTGGGGGTGTGAAATTAAAACCATCGCAATTGGAAGTTTTTGAGATGTCGTTAATTTTTCAAACCGTGGAATTAAAACAACTTCCAGTAACCATCTTATTATACCCCACGCACCCCCACACAAGTAACCATCTTATTATACCTCACACACCCCCACACAAGTAACCATCTTATTATACCCCACGCACCCCCACACAAGTAACCATCTTATTGTACCCCACGCACCCCCACACAAGTAACCATCTTACTATACCCCACACACCCCCACACAAGTAACCATCTTATTATACCACATGCACCCCCACACAAGTAACCATCTTATTATACCCCACACAAGTAACCATCTTATTATACCCCACACACCCCCACACAAGTAACCATCTTATAATACCACATGCACCCCCACACAAGTAACCATCTTATTATACCCCACACAAGTAACCATGTTATTATACCCCACACACCCCACACACCCCCACACAAGTAACCATCTTATAATACCACATGCACCCCCACACAAGTAACCATCTTATTATACCCCACGCACCCCCACACAAGTAACCATCTTATTATACCCCACACACCCCCACACAAGTAACCATCTTATTATACCCCACACACCCCCATATAAGTAACAGGCTTATTATACCCCATGCACCCCCACACAAGTAAACGACCTATTTTCAAAGAGTTTAATTGGTAGCACTTTTGGCTGATGTTTCCAGTATAGTCAGTTTGATACCGTCATTGCTTCTAACTCATTGTTTTTGTAGAAAAGACGGGCAATGCAAGCATGAATTTTGCATAGTATGCTTATGCTGTATGAATTCTCTATAATAGTGTACATTGTGAATATATTTGGATATTGAATACACAGGGACAACTAATTAAAAGCATAAAAATAAAGATAGAATCTAACAAATGCATTGTGTATGTACTACAGTAAAACTCGTTTAGTACGAACACGGATATAGCAAAGATATCTGGGATCCCCAGCTATATATATTTAACAAATTCTTTACATGGATATAAGAATTACTGATATAGCAAAGTAATTTCACAGGTCCCGAAGACTTTGTTATAACCAAGTTTTACTGTTTATGCTAATGATTATACATATATAAATTGTTTATGTAGAATGTACTAGTGTTTTCACTCTATAATGATGTTTACGTTTATTTTTCAGGAGGCAAGGGAACCAGTAGAGGTAGGGATTCCTGAATATTAGAGACATAGAAATTATTTATTTCTAGTACATGTATTTCTTTGGTATATTTTAAAACATTTCTGAAAAAATGACAAGGAAATGGCGTTTACATAAATGTCAGGAGAAGATGACTGCTTTATATTAAATAAATACTATTTTGAACCAAAAAAAGTGTTTAATGAATCATTAGTGACCAAGCATACCATATATCTTTTGAGCATTATCTTGGAAAATTTAAATTCTGTGCAATTAGCTTTTCCTTAGAGAATAATTTTGAGCAGCAAATATTTACTTAAGCACCCGCATTTCTAAACTTTTAAAAAGCCCTGTATTAAAATAACCAATATGGAAAAAGTGCAATAATTTTGTAGAATGCAGATACCTCAGAAACAGAGCAAGCAGCCACCAGTACAAGTAGTACGGTCACTGTCGTAGAAAAGACTGATGATACCGTCACCGCGGCAACAGATAATACGCCAACTGAAGCTTCGCTGGTCAACAAATCGGCGGATTCGACTCCGTCAGCATCAGCAACTCAGGTAAGGGGGGCCAGTTACAGGAACCAGTTCTATCGATTTTTCTATATTTCTTAACTACTGGTAATTGATATGTTTCCGCTTTGAAAAAATGTACCTCTAGTTCTAATTTCAAATTTATTTCATCCTTGACGTGACAAAATAGCTAGAAAAATTCCTGTGTTATAACAGATTATAAGTTTTTACTTGTAATGATACTGTTGGGTTTTTTTTCTTCACCTTGTCCTTTTTTTGTCTTCGGTAGGTTTTGCAGGCTGAGGTTTCACAGGTACCCCTTAACCTAGTCTTGAGACTCAGGTAAGGTTTATATCTAACAAAATTTTTACAAATATGTGTACCGTAAAAGTGATTATATTGAAGGGTTGAAAGTTTGACGATTTCAGTATATTATAAAAGTAGGGAGTGGAAACACCAACCATTTACCAGTATTATTTTAAGAGTGCTCTTTCACAGGAATATGAAGTTGACAAGTAGAAACTTTGACTATTATTAGAAATTCATCAATTTCATAAACGTTTCCTTGTTGTCAAAATTTTCACTTTTACAGTATATAAAACATAATGAATTTTTTTTTTTTTTTAATTTTTAGCTAAATAATTTAAGAGGTAAAAAACAGAGAGAGAACTTTATTTATAAAGGATAAAGAAGATCAGAAGAAACTGTAATTTTCATACTTATAAGATGAACTCCTCATATGTTTCAAAATAAAAGAAACAGTTTTCATTTTTTCCAGAAATGAAAAGAGAGAATTAAATGATATCAAATTTGAATTCACCATTGGGCAAGGTAAGAAAGACACAAAAGAAGGAGATAAAATTTAATTTTACTGTTAGAGTTGATTAGAAAAGGGAATTAAATGATACAAGAATGATTTAAGAATTCCTTTAATTTGAACAAGCAACAACAAAAGATCTGATATTATTTGAATATTACATTGCTATAAGCAAAAAATTTATTGAAATTGCGTTCACTATAAGCATGTACTAGTGTATTTGAAATGATGTGGTTATTTACAAATACATGTATATACTGTACATGCTTGTACATAATATGATATAAAATACATGTATTTTATTTGTTGTATTGGTGAAAGGACAAGCAGTAAAAACATTATTCATTCTGTTCAAGACCCATCAACATCTCTTTCTTTCCATCAAATTTTGGGGTAAATTCTTAATTTTTTTAATCACAATATTTATTATGACTTAGACACAGCAGACAGCGTCTCCCGAGAAATGGTAGAGGCGGGATTAGTCAACGGAAAAGACATGATAGTCGGTGAGCTCACAATTAAGGTTCAAGGTTACTCTCATAAGAAAGATAACTCTTAATGACATAAATGTTTATTATTCCTTTTTTAATTCTGCTGAAACATGGCTGAAAAATTGTCAACTTGGCGTAAACAATATACAATCGATCAATCCTTTTTAAATTTGACAAGTTGAAGTGTCTTTTTTGTCCAATTTTGCCCCTCAAGTTGTGCTCTAATTGTTTGTATTTTACTTGATAGCAAATATATTTCTTTTTTAAAAATCATAAGGGCTAAAGAAACATTTGATATGAATGAGCAGAAGGTGTATGAACCTCAAATTAGCTTAATCAACGACCTGTCAATTATGTAAAATTTTAATTATAAAAAATGTAAAATGCTATTAAATTAAAACTGACTTTTGTTATTTGTAGTTGCTGCCAATCTACAGAAACTCCAAGACTGCCCAGACCTAAAAAATGTAACCTTTGCTTTAGTAAGTAATAAATACACATACACTTTTAGTCATGACCATTACATGTATCAATGTTACAGTGTATGTCCCTTCTTTCTCCAATGTTCAAAGTGGTAATATTCTCTAAAGGAAAGAAATTTTTTTTGAATTTTGGTACTGTATACGGGGAAATTTTCGCCCCCTTCGGCCTCGTCACATTTGGGAGAATGTTAAATGGGGCAAAAACAAAGAACACTGTATAATTTTTAAAACAGAAATGTGAATGGGCGAATTAAAAGGGCGAAAATAACATGGGGTCACACGAAAATAACCCTGTATACAGTAGTTTTAAAACTTTAGCCATGACAGTAAAAAAAAAAGATATATTTATCAGACAAGTCTTGTCAGTCTTATGTTTTATATGTGAAAAATATGTTAAAATTATAATTGAATTTTGGTACTTGAACTCTGACATCTGAGTTTTATTTTAAGTCCAAACACTTAATCTTTAAGTATTTTACCTTTGATACCTCAAATTCTGGGATATCTCGGACTTTATCTTGATCCCTTTGGATTTGGAGTAACAAGATTTGACTGTATTCTTAATTATCATATGTATATAAGTTTTTGTTTGTTTGTCTCCGTAGAACTCGGGCTGTAGTCCTAACGAGGCACCTTGTGACAAGACTTTGATCGGATTCGCACAATTATCAATTAACGATGGATCTGTCGCACCCTTACAATAATCCTGATCAGTCAGAAGCTTCTGTGATACTAGATAATCATGCACAGTGCCAAGAATGGAAAAGACTAAGACTGAGGAATAAAATTAATGGAAGAAATTTAATGGGACAGCAGTTGCATATTAGGGCAATTTATGATAGCATTTTATGTCCGCATTTTTGTTATTTCATACTTTTCAAAAATAGCACAATGAGACTTGAAAAAAAAAACTCTTTTAAAAGTCTCACAAAAGTTTTTACTGTTTGGCAAGGTATAATGGTAATGTTACTAGAATAAAGATTTTATTCTTTTTGGTTTCAATTTATTTGGCATTTATGCTGTTTAATTTTTTTTTTTTTGCATTGTTAAAACTTCTGGCTTTTTTTTCTCATTAGGATGTTTTATTTATTTTTTCTTAATTGTTTCAAGAAAAATAATTAGAGCTCAAGATTCATCTATTTTTAATTTTTTTAATGAGAATATCTTACGTCAATTAACTTGTCAAGCATTGAAATGGAAAAAAAAAATTCAACAAAGAATTGGGGAATAAAAGGCCCAGGTATTGTTATGTGTTCATTAAAATACTGGTGCTTTTAACTCATGACCTTGACATTTTAAAAATGATTATTTACTGAATAATTCCCTTTATAATCAATTAGTAAAGATTAATGCAAAAGGGGAAATTTTTCATGGTAGAAAACTTTGATTGTAATGCATACAATTTTTTAAAAGTTAAGAAGAATATGTGCTATACCCCAGCATCAGCTTTTCAGGTAAAGGTTTAGGAGCATGCAAGTCTATCCCAGAGTATTTATAAGCCCTACCTAGACCAAACTTGTATTGAGGATGCTTTTCCAGACTTCCTTTGAAGTTGGATCTGACCTACATTTTTTGTGAGTGACCTGGTTCAAGTTTTAGCAGCAAGTCCACTCCCAAGAAACTTTTAGCACTACCTGAACCTAACTTGCAAGGATGAAGTATAAAGGGATAAAGAATACCAAATTTGCTTCTGATGCTGAATCTGATCTAAAATTCTCTAAGTGAATAGGTGAAAATAATAGAAGCTGGTCCATTTTCAAGTAACTACATGTATAAGTTGTACTTAAACCAAACCTGTGTGGATTTTAATCAAGATTTGCATTGCTTATAGATACTGATTGTCGAGTTGAGCTTTGTAATCTTTGATTGTACTTGTATCTTTGATTTAAGTTTCATTTATAAATTGTCTTCTTCCTCGATGCAGCAGGAGCTTTTCTTTTCTGTTATTATTGTAGGGAAAGATAAAAGGATATACTAGACAGCTATGTTCTGCAATTCATGCTTGTAACATGAGCATTTCCTTATGACATTTGGCATTGATGAAAACTATTGACAATGTATGAAAATCAAATGAACAAAAGAATCAGCCAAGAGATGGAGAAAATTAATAGAAACCACTCTTTAATCATGATATCAATGCAAAAAATACCATATTGGCTTTATGTGCGTTTTGATTGTTTATTTGTGTAAAATAAAATTAACTTTGCTTGTTATTGATTTTGTTGGTCACTTGTTTGTTGAATAAGACAGACAGCTAAGATTATATATAATATATTAAATTCTGTATATTTCTGTTTTTGGGTGATTGTTTACTCTTGTCAAATGTATAATACTCCAGAAATTTTGTTTGAAATAGTACTTGTTAAGCTTTTAAGCACATATTTCATGCTTTGAACAAAGTTTTGTTCCCAACTGCAGTTTGTATTCCTAAATGGAGGCTTCTATGAAAATAGTCCTAAAAAGATTGTTCAGGCATTTTATATCCAGGAAAATGCACTCAAAAATTGCTCAAGGTAAACTTTCTTTTTATTAAGTGGATGTTTTTGTTTCACTTAACAATGTCAAGAGGTTAACTTAATACTTATTCACTTGCCAAAGAAACAGTAGTAATATGTGATATCTTACAGTTCAAAAGGTTTGGATGATGTATTCCTAATGCTTAAGAAATTTGCAGAAAAGATGTTTGTTAGAATTAAAAATAAGACATTGTAATCTTCATTTGTTTAACATCTTTCAATAATGAAGAATAAACTTTTGTTTTTATTTGAAAAAATTTCCATTTTTAGCTCTACTGGTGGGATGGTAAAGTGTCTGTCGTCTGTTCATCTAGCTGTCCACATGTCTATAAGCAATTATTCAAAAACCCTACTACAACAGTTTTGGTCCTATTTCAATTTAACTTGACACACAAGTAAAGAACACTAAGATACTGTACCTGTACATAATTTGGCGTATTCAAAAATTAGCGTAATTGCTTGGTATGGAGTTGTTGGTGTAATCATGAATTAGCGCTACACATATCCGTTCAGTGTATTGTATATGTAAATGATTTTTTAGTGGTATTCATGAATTAGTGCATTAATTGTCTGAGCCAAAGGTATGTAACTTAGTGCATCAGTTTTTGATTTTGATGAATGGTGTTGCCATCGTTACTAAAAAAAATTCTGTAAAGTTCTTTGAAAATGAGAGATTTAATGCTTCAGCTTTTTTATGAAGGGTGTTGCCATGTTTGCTAAAATTACAAATTTCTATATAATTCCTTTCAAGCGTTATTCTTGCAAGTTTTTGTCCCATATCAATATGACTTGAAATGAGTACATAATTTATAGCATCACTTTAAATTTCGATGAACAGTGTTGCCAAGGTTACAAAAAATAGAATTTTCCGTGAAATTCCAAACGCTACTCCTGCAACTGCTTTGGTTCGATTTCAATGTAATTTGGCAAACAAGAGGACTACACTATGCAGCCCAATAATGTATATCAGTTTTAAGATCACCTGAGTAAACTCAGATGACCTATTGCTATCTGTTTTCATCCATTACATGGGATGGTTTGTTAACATTGAACATTTTCAGCTTCCTCTCTGCTATTGCATATCCAATTTCAACCAATTTTGGCTTAAAGTATCTATGGGCAAAGGAAAACAAAAATTGTGAAATTCATGAGGCCTGAGGGAAGGGACCAATACCACTCAAATTAATGTAATCTTTAAAATCTTCTTTACTCCTGGACATCAAGCAGTCAAACTGTTGGCATGATTTTAATCAGCATTGAGTCCTCTACCAAATTGTGAAATTCATGACCCCAGGGTCAGGGATTCTAGTGCTAGGGCAGGGCTAAATGGATTATATAGTAAAAATGCATCATTTCTTTGAAATTCTTCTTCTCTGTTCCTTGGCATCAAATAAATAACCAGGTACATAGTGATGTTGAATAAGACTGCTTCTTTCAAAATTGAATTTCATAGCCCTTGGGTCGGGGGCTCTGGTGTTAGGATGGGGCTCTATTGATTGTATAGTGAAAATGCATAAATTCTTTGAAAATCTCTGCTCCTGGGTATTTAATAAATTAACCAAGTACATAGTTATGATGAGCAAGAATGTCTTTTCCAAAATTGTTGATTTAATGGCCCCTTGGTCGGGGTTTCTGGTGTAAGGGTGGGGCTCGATTGCTTATATAGTAAAGATACTTTAATTCTTTGAACATCTTTGCTTCTGGGTATTAAACAAACTAACTTGGTACATACGAGGGGTGATCAAAAAGTTCGCGAACCATCTCTATATCTACAAAACCACAATTCGGATTAGAATAAAACATGTAAAATTTAGTACACACATAACCATACACAAGTTAATACTAGTAGCATATGCTTAATGAAGTTTTGCTCCTTGTTTGTGACGTCACAATGTAAAAATGACGTCACTGTAGGTCACTTGTGACGAAAAATGGTTGTCTCAGTCGAACTCGTTCAACAAACGACTGTACAATTTATTGTATATCTTAGAAATCGCTTTGCAGTCGCATATTATAAATTACACAGTTTATTAAGACAAAAAAATCGAATTCCTATAAATTCAATCAATGATTGGATTGATCGTTTTAATAAAGGAAGGCAGATGGTTAAAAATGATACGTGTCATGTTGCCCAGTGAAAGCAAGTTTGAAAAGATACGTGTTTTTAATTAAGCAATTTTCTATCAAAGACCTCCAATTTACACTTTGAAAATTACTGAATATTTGAATAATGATATAATTATGAAATACCTGAAATATCGTTTACTTTAGATTTTAAACATATTAGATATAATAAAAAAGAAGGCACCCATTCTCTATTCACCTTGAACAAACGTCTCTCCCGAGACAGAAGATTTGTGTTTTAATGGTCGCCATGCTTAATTTTGGAAAGGATATTCTTATCCGACCATTCTGTTGTCGAGATTTGACCATTTCTGACAAATGAACTGTTATTGTTGTAAAAATGAACTTGCACGGAAAAAAATATAAAACTCAGAAAAATCTTTCAGCTTTTGTGACAGAACGCTACATGGGGGTCACGTAACAGCCAATATCACGTGATTTGCATGCCACGTGATTCGCGCATGCACAGAACGGTGGTTTATGTGCATTAAAGTCGGAGAGGATTAAGTTAAAATATAATCAACATTGAAACCAAATAATATTTCTTTTATGGAAGTTATTCAATCAGTTCGCGAACTTTTTGATCACCCTTTGTATGTTGAATAATGATTCCTCTTCCAAAATTGTGAATTTCATGACCATGGGTCCGGGGTTCTGGTGTTACTATTTATATAATAGTGTTGCATTATGCAGTACTATGCCTAAATAGTAGGCAGGGTTTGACACATGGTGCACGAACCGGAGGCGAGTGCACTATGTGTCAAACCCTGCCTACTATTTAGGCATAGTACATGCATAATGCAACACTATTGTTATTATTATGCTGACTGTTGTAATTATTTATGCGGCAATCCATTTGTCTTTTTCCTGAAAATTTCGGTGCTAACACAGCGCACTTGCAAGAACTCATTCAAAATCTTCATGCTAAAATTGGTTACATGCTTATTTATTTTGGTTGCCAGTATTTTCTCTGAATAAGTCGGGATTTTCTGTCCCAAAGCAACTCATCTTTATTTTCTGTTTTGTTAGTAATTGTTGTTTGTTAGCAGACGTCGATTCTCATTGATAATTTTCTTTAACATCCTTCAATCAAGCGTCATATAAAAAAGCATTTTAATGACCCAATGAAATCAGTTCATCTAACGATCTGTATGTAATTAGTTTGAAACTTTGTTGTATGCATTAATCTAAGGTCCCTTAGAATAATATAACTGTTTTTAAATAATATTTGTCTATTCTTTCCTTCTTGTGTCAATTGTATTAATTAAGTTTATATATTTAATAAAATTCGATTATTTAGTGATCGTCTCTGTGGCGTAATCGATAAGGCATCGGACTGATAAT